TCTCTCTACATATTATATATATATATATGTATTACTTTTTCGCCAATACAGGATACGGGATATGCCATCGAAGGGAGACTGTTTTCTCCGGGGCTTGGATGAAGAACTTGGGTCATAACAGCGATTGTAAGGGGGTGCTGGTTATACTAACATTCTACAAAAAACTATGAGGGGTGCTATGTACACTACAACACACAGAGTGGAGTATAACGAGGTATTCTTCGTACAATAAGCAAATAGGGACTGGAGTATTAGGGGATACTTGTGGAAATAGTTCTGCAACTCCCGGCAGCTTTTGCTTTCAGGGTCGGTCCGGATGTTCTGATTTATCTACGACTTAAGATTCGTGCTCCAGGGCTCTGTGCTGGAGGACTGATGAAGAATCCTACCGCTCCATCCCAAATATCGGGGTTTAGGGGTTGAGGGCTTCGGGTATAGGGTTTAGGGGTTGCCTGTCGGTAAACGGTAGTCCCGAATCTACATCCTCATGGGGGGTCATGGTTTGATTGAAGCATAGATTGACCACAAGGAATGTTTTCCACAGGTCATGGCTCTTTGCAAGCAGGATCTAGCGTCATTGCTTCGGGCTTGGCGTTTGGTACGGAGTCAGAACTACGAACTGGGTTGACAAGAGGCTGATCTATGTACTGCTTGCTTTACGCCCCGTGTTCACGATATCCCAGCCAATCTTGCATCAGCCTTTCTGCAGTGTCTGTAGCGCATAAACGCGCTCCCTCTACAGGTCTCGAAAGTGCCTTTCCCTTGGTGGTTGCGACAAGGAGGGCCGACAGTACACAAAAAAGCCACAACAGCGGAGTCTCTTCAGGTGCAATTTGGGTCCGTGTGCTGGCCGATATTCAAACCAAAAAGCCTAGATCCTGAAAAACCTCAGCCCTGAGCCCACAGTGAAACCCGCAACCATAGCGACACGCGTGTGTTCAACGCCCAAGACAAAGCATCAATGTCGAGTCTTATCATTTCATTACTTTACACGAAATATGCTATGTTGCAGTATACTATAGCACCATACTCCATTATCCTATGTTATATGATATCACATTGCATCATACTATACTTTACTATGTCATACTGTTGTGTGTTCTTGTATATTATATACATACATGTTATATCCGCGTGCACATAGATAGATACATATATATATACACATATGTATAGATAGATAGATATCAAGGTCAACGCCTTCACTCGGAGTGGCGACTGCGCGACGGCGCTGCTTTGGCTTCGCACGTTTGAGCAGTCGCCTGGCCACATACCCGTCAATACTACGGGCCTTAAACCCTAAACCCTCACTACTTTTCCTTGCAGGGGCCCGGCCCTCGATCTTACTAGAGTATAACATAAAACAAAGAGCCTTGTGGTAATTTTAAAGGCACCTTTACGAGAGAATCCGGGACTGTGCCCTTCAAGAGTTCATGGAGTTGTCTCAAGTGACTTGGCCCGTGAAGCTCGAAATCCTCTAGTATAGCGGTCGGAGTCACTACTACCATCCACTTATAGTCGCTAGCATCATCACCGCACAATATAGCCCCAAACCCTATGCCAGTTGTGAAAGCCGCTACTATATGTCAGGATGACTGCATGGTTGCAATGATCCTTGCGGCAGGCCTTTGCTACGCCAACTCCGCACACTTCGTCGAGACTGTGGAACCACTCGACAGTACTCCAAATCAGCTGCGACAAGAGCCGCACCGACGAGAAGGATGTGCTCTACCACTCCCTGGTTCTTAGCAGGGACTGGGGGAATGGATCCCTATGATAGCCCCTTAAGGTCCCCTATAGTAGTCCCAAGAACCCATTCCCCCATTCCCTACTAAGAAGCAGTCAGACAATGACCCTCCCGCGTCAACATCCCTGGAAGCCCAAGGGGTACCTCCACGCCTGAGAGAAGTAGTTAGTACGGTTGATGATATAAATCCTGCGTTACTTTAAGGACCCTAAACTATGGGGATTATGGCATATTCCTTAGTATGGGTTAAGATTTATATCATCAACGGTATTGGAGGAGAAGAGACAAACTGCTGGCATAATGCGAAGCACAAGCCTGCTTCTGTTAGCTAGTCAGTCAAGACCTGGTTATGATCCCTCACGGGCCTGGAATGCATCCCTAAGTTCAGCATCAATCACCTTACGCCATGAAAACCTCAAACCCTAGTTCATCCGTCCACGTTCGGCGCACATAAACCCTAAACCCTAAACCTAAACTCTAAACTCGAAACCCTAACTCTAACACCTAAATCCTAAACCCCAAAACCTTAAACCGAAAGCCTTTTTGCATCTGAGCCCCAACTCAGATCCGGAATTGCTGCCGGCCTGCACGAGTACAACGTGCTTCTCAACGGCTTTGCCAAGGAGACCCCCTGTCCTGGACGAAAGCTGCTATAAGGCTACAAGGGTCCTTAGGAGGGGTATCGGGTACCATTAGGGTTCCTGAAAAGGAGCAACTGCTATAAGGCTCCTTATGAGGGTTACCACACAAGGCTCGTACTAGGAGTACAAAAAGGGTTTCCTTTTGGAGATTCCTTCTGCCACGGCCCTGGACCTCTCAGGGTTGTTAGGGAGCCCCCCTCTTAATCATAGGGACCCTTAGAGGGGTAGCGGGTGCAGGGAGCGGGGGGAGGGGGCCTTAATCGGGGGGAGGGAACCTTAATTCCAGCGATAAGGACCTAAGAAGGCCTATTTAAGGGAAGCATAGTCCCCTCCCTACCCCCCCTAAGACCTCCTTCGGCCTATTCAAGGAAGTAGAGTCCCCTCCCCTACTCCCCCTAAGGGGTCCCTGTGACCTAAGGGGGCCCGTAATTATGAGAATATTATGAGAATACGGCTTCTGGGGTATAATCTTGCACCGATTGCCAAGAGGAGCATGAACTCCGAACAGCCTGCGCCCCACCTGTCCATCCTTCCTCTTGTCTTTTTCACCCTAAACCGGCCCGAAACCTCAAACCCTACTTGGAGGTTCATGGGTAGTTATAAGTGAGGTTATAGGTCCCCTAAGTAAGGTTATAAGTATACTTACCCTACTTATCACCCTACTTATACCTACCCATGAACCCTCAAGTAAACCGTTCCTTTCGCTGGCAACGGTCATCTTGGCGATTCCCGCAACAACAACCAGCCCAACTGCTCTTCAGCCTCAGAGTCCTCGACCCTCTAAGCCCAGACCATGCAGGATACGACAGAGGGTAGAAAGAAATATACTGGAGAAGTACAGCATTAATTTTTTCTTGTAGTGGCCCATACAGGAAAGTAGCATCAAAGGCCCGAAGATACCCGCTGCCAAGTCTTGAGGCTTCTGCAGGACACATGTGTACTTTGAAAACCGCAGGCACCTTTTTAAATGCTGGCTCATGCAAGCATCGTTTCAGAATGTAGAAGTTTGAGGCTGCATAGTTACGCACTCGATGTAGTGCTCAAAGACTGTCAGGCTGAGACAGGACTCTGGAGAGACGGGTGACGATAGGCTCAGAGACTTCCAAAGCTAGAGCCCAGCAGCTTTGGCGACCGAGCTGTACACGGAGCGAGCTAGAAGAAGCCCCGACAACGTAGCTTCCAAAAATTGGGATCCCCAAGACGGGGCTCCCAAGACGCTGCCAATGGCGCGAAGCTATCGATTCTGCTGCATCACGGTCGTCGTCACAGCTGCTGCTCTGGCTCTCGCTGCTGTTGCCGGCTACTTGTTTCTCATTTGGCTCATAGTCACTCTCTTCGGCGAGGTCTTCAGTGAAGTCGACGATGCACTGCGCCTCGGAGTGTTTCAGCAGTTCCTTTCGTTGTCTGCATGTCCGGGCAAGCACCTCTGCCCAAGTGACGAGCTCCGAGGCCCCAGGAAAGCCGAAGCACTAGGCCTTGATTCCATGAGCCGCAGGAACCCGAAAGACCAATCTAGGGGCTAAATAATTACCAATACATTTTTGGGGGCTCCTTATTATCATTATAATATAACGGCCCGCAACATCCTATTCTAATCATGAAGGCCCCCATATTAAACCTCGAACCTGAGCCCCTTCTGACCCAGGTCGACGCCTACGCCGGTTATTTTGTCAACAACTCTCGGTGCGATTTTCGGCTACGTTCAGGACAGCTGGAGGTTGTTAGGCAACTCGGAGCACCTAGCACGCGCGACCCGCAACCCTGAACCCTAAACACCTAAACCTTAAACGTAAGTGGTCGGGTCAGCTGAGAGGATCATCCGATGAACGTGCTCATAATGATTCTGGCGTCCCTCCTGCTGATGAATGCCCTTGCTGAGTTGGATCTATCGCAAACCGGCCTACAGCTTTGACTGCCTTCGGGCATTCTGTATACCGAAAGGCTACCTGAAAGAATCGATCCAGGAACTATCTTGCGATGAGAGTTTCATACAATAGGGACCCTAATCTAAAACCATACATCTCAAGATCTTTGGTGGTTGTAGGACCCCCACGAGGAGTGCCTAAATTTTAAGAAAACACAACCGATACGAGCTGCAGGTGAGGATTCCGGCTTGTCTGGGAGCTCCCTCGAAAAGGGTAGTTGTCGAATATGAAGGCATGACCTTCTATCTACACGCCTACATACACACATACACAGACATAAGCATACATGCAGTTCTTCTACTCATTCTACTCCAATATAATCAACCAGCAACCACTCCTGTTGTATACACAGATGTGTATAGATGTACACCTACTTCAGTTTCGTTCATAGGCATGCTTATACGCATTTGTCACGTGCGCACATACGTACTCTTGATCGAGGACGGGAGATGATTCATACATAGGCCGTGAGACAGACAGTGATAGACAGGTAGCTAGGCCCCTAAACCCTAAACGCCTCACCTTTCTCTCTAGTGCTGCATATGTACGTGCTCATGCTGGTTTTCGATTCTTTAGGGATGCTCCCCCGCAGAGACAACGACCCGGATTTCAAAGCTCGGAGCCTTGGCCAATGTCAGCCAGCGCAGACATGCAAGAGATGCCGTCAAAAGGCAACATCTCATCGTCATAGTCACCGCTTACGGACACATACATACATAGATATATATATATATATATATATTTATATATATATATAGATATATATATATACACCTATATCTTTTTCTATATCTATACCTATATACACACACATATACATATATATATATATATACACATACATACATACATACATACATACATATCTATTTACTTGTATTCGTGCTCATATTTCCACCTATATTTGTATTTGGTTGTATTTACTTCTATTTCTGTTTCCATGCAAACTTTATGTCGATACGTGACCTACATGGTCTTGTTCTATATTACGTCATATCATGTCATCTCAGATTTCGTTGGGGGGGGGTTCAGGGTTGTCCGGGCTCAGGTCTACGACATTTGCAGGTGGGTAGTTACCGTTACAGGAGCCTAATAGAAGGTCTATATACCTTATAGAAGCCGTATCGAAGCCCTAGATACCGAAAACTTCCCACCCGTAGTTTCCTTTAATCAGGGGTCTCCTACATTGCAGATGTGTTTGTCAAGCCTGTCGGGTTCCGATGCTGAAATCGTCCCGAAGACAGCAAAGGGCAAGAGCTCTGGGACCGGATCAAGGAATCGCGCGGTTTTTGGGGTTTGGGGCTTCGGGTTTCGGGTTTTAGGGTATGGGTTATTGAGCTAGCTGGGGGTTTCATACAAAGCTTCCACCAACTCTCAGAGTCGATTACATTGTAGCATATCAGATTGCACTAGAGTTATAGTGGATTATATCGCACTGCACTATGTCTTATTGTACCACAAATATGTTACACTACACTATGTCATGCCTCATGATGCCATGAACTATATATTATAGCGCAGTATGTCACATCTTATCACGTCGTGTCTCGCAGTTCGACTCGTTCCCCTCGTCCCCAAACCTGTCCCTAAACCCTAAACCCTAAACCCCTTTAAGTGGGGAGCCTTTAGGAATACTGTGATTTAGACCTGTCCCTAAACCCTAAACCCCCAACCCTAAACCCCAAACCCTAATCTCAGCCGAAAGTGAAGCCCTGGACCTCCTTCCGCGTTAAAGCCAACAGGGAACACGGAACCCTACGTAGGCGTCAACAGCTCGAAGCGGGTTCTGGGGGTCTGTTGGGGTTTGGGGTTCAGGGTTTTTGGGGGGTTTAGGGGTTTAGGGGATACTCGGAGACTATAAGTTTCGTCAGGAGCACTGAGGTAGATCCGTAAACTACAGCCAGGAAGCTACACACCGGGGCGAGAAACCCCACTGCCTGAGCCTAATCTCTACCAGGAGGGCCGGATCCAAGAGACGAGGCCTCGTCGCTCTGTGTACGTCAGGCCTCAAGAACTCGAAGAGCTCTGGGCTCCTTTGTAGGGCTACGGTTTAGGGTTTGAGGGTTTAGGGTTTAGGGATAGTATCATTATAGGGGCTACTATGGAGGTTCTACAACATACTGGAGATCAGTCGTCTAGGCCTTCCTGCCAAAAGGAAGTCCAGGGGCTGTAGACCTACAAAGTTTTACTATGTGTATATTGGGATTTTACGAATTCGAGGAGCGCTCCATTGAGGGTTACCGGACCCCAGTTGGGAATCTTCGTGGCTGACCTAAGATCCTCAACCCCACCTCTACTGGGTTCTTGTTAAGGGATTTAACTTAAGTTACCATAGTAAGGAAACCCTATTATCTACTATAGATCCCTTTATGGTAACTTACATAAAATCCGTTAACAAGAACCCAGTCTAAGAATTCTCCCTTGGCTCAAGCCTTAGAGAGTTCCGCTGAAGCACGGGAGCCCCCTTTCGGTGAAGCTTGCTTCCTACAAACACACACCTCGCAAAGTGCGCTTAGGAAGACTGCTTCGGGCAGATGAAATCTGGGGGTTTCCGAAAATAGGGGACCCTAATATAGTACCCTAAATAGTAGGATCCTTATTATCAGGACCCCAAATTAAGGTACTCCCTATTTTCGGAAACTCCCATCTGCTTTTGGTAAGACTGTGAAGTCTCTTCTAGCTGAGACCAAAGCCCTCGGATTTTGTCTCTTGCAAGGGAGCTGCTGCAAGCCATGCGGACGCAGACTCTGAAGCCCGACGTGGTGTCCCTCACAGCCCTTTGGTCCCTACGCAAGCCTTGGGTTTCTCTACTTGGAGGTTCATGGGTGGTTATAAGTGGAGTTCTAAGTCCCTTAAGTCAGGTTATAAGTATAGTTAGCCGACTTCTAACCCTACCTACAACTACCCATGAACCTTCAAATATTCGGCCTTGGGGACGTCAAAGGCGGGCCTAGAGCGGAGTTGAGCGAAGCTTTCGGAGTTCAAGGCAGTTCCGGGCTTCTTTCCTTGAAGCGAGGGACTCACAGGCGCCTGAAGCCGAGGAGTCCTAGAAACTAAGGGTGGGGGGTTCGGGTCTCCAGCGGCTCAGGGCAAGTTGAGGTTTTTGCGCCACCGCTGGGCCTAAAGAAGCCCTGAAACCCTTTGCCGCACCCTTTCGGGAAGGTCATCCCGGATGCACGAGTTTAAAGCCCAGGCCTACCCGGAACCAAGAGCCCGGGAATCCGAGACCACACAAGTTTCCACCTAACAAAAGCAAGTTGCTTCCGTTGGACCTTAAACCTATTCTTCTACTAAGGCCACTCTGAACGTAACCCTCATTGGAAGCAACCTTGAAGGAGCCCTAAAGCTAAATGCCCCCTAAATGCCAGACCGAGTCTTGCCAACCTCCGAGAAGGGTCGAAAGCTGCCACGTGACCAAATGTACGAGCAGACTGTAGGCTCTACCTACGAATTTTGTCGGGGAGATGTCGAACACACAGGAGAAGGGCTTAGTCTTAATCTGCTGTTTCCTTATATGACTATGATTATCATGACTTTCTCTTACTTCGATTCTTATTATTGTTGTTATTATATTATGCTTATAAGAAGTGTTCTTCTTCCTGTCATTACTATGAATCTTGCTGTTCGTACCGAGGCAGTAGCCGAATGCTACACCCGCCGTGGCGACGTCGACGGCGCCCTCGAGTGTCTGGAGCGATTCAAGGTGCACTTCAGAGGGAAGGGTCACGATAAGTGATATTCAAGGGTTACTATAAGGGCCTAAATAGTAATGGTTCCTTCTCAGAATATGATACAACGGACACCAGAATCCCCTCAATAAGGGGATACTACAAGGGGATACGATGCGAGTTGCTTCGAGGGTTACTAAAGGGTTATGATCTGGAGCATGTGGTCTTTTTGGGGCCTCGCAAAGTGCAGAATTCCTGCGAACACAGTGGTGCTCGGCTAGCCTTGGCTTGGCTTTACGATTTCGGGGTGTATAGCGGCTTTTCATACGACAAGCAGGAGCCTTTGCAAAGCACATTGCGTGGGGTTGCGGCCTGAATCCCAAAATCCTGAGTCAGGCATAACGTGCTTGCCAACGGACGGAAGCAAAAGGGCAGGGTAGGTGCCGGAGCTGTTTTACACTGTTGTTGCGGAGGTCGTACTGAGGCAGCCCTTCGTTCAGATATGCAAGTATTGACACTGCGAGTCGCCTGCAGCTGGTGCTAGAACGTTACATTGGGTTTGGCACAGAGGGCTTCTACAGGAAACATGTCTTAGGATGCTTTCTCTTTTCGAAGCCCACTAGCCCGTCCGCACCTCAAAATACACACAACGACTCCATGAAGCGACATAAGGCAACGAAGACCCATCCCTTTTTCCTTAGCCAAGTAATCCCGAAGATTCCTCCAAGAACTTCCCGGAGCCATCCATCGCGTGAAACTACCTTAGGCTTCAGTGGTCATTGCGCTCTCACTCCCCAGTTGAGGAGCTGGAGGGTCAAGGCCTAAACCCTTAAACTCCAAGGCCCCAAGGACCAAGGCCCAAGGTCCAAGGCACAGGTGTGTAGATATTGGCCAATCTCCGCCCGTGGCTCTGCAGACCGAAGTGAGCCTCGACCGGGTCTTCTTCAAGACGGTCATGAACTCCTCTGCAGGAAGAGGCCCATCAGCCCACCAGTGTTTTTTTGCCGTTTCGGGGGGAGCCTTCGGAGAAATTTTGGGGGGGCGGCAAGCCTTGGTCTGAGAAGCGTCTCCTCCACATGATAAAGAGCGCCCCAAGCCCCGGACCCTGACACGGTTTAAGGTTTTTAGGGTTTAGGGTTCTAGGGTTTAGGGTTCTAGGGTTTAGAGTTCTAGAGTTTAGGGTTTAGGGTTTAGGGTTTGTTGCCCTGCGCTGTACAACCGCCATGCATCGGAGCAACTCCTCCGATGACCGAAAGGTTGTGACTTCTTGTTGTTTAGTAGGGTTTAGGGGTTTAGGGGTTTAGGGGGGCTCAGGCTCA